GAATCGAACGATCCTATCACGAATCGCTCGATTCGAGCGAATCGCTAGCGAATCGCTCGAGTCGAGCGAATCGCTAGCGAATCGCTCGAATCGCTAGCGAATCGAGCGAATCGCTAGCGAATCGCTCGAGTCGAGCGAATCGCTAGCGAATCGAACGATGCACCAGCGATTCGAACTGAACTAGGTACCAGCGAATCGAACTAGGTACCAGCGAATCTTGCATAAAGCTTGAAACTAGGGTGTTAGGCTAGGTTTTGAGTGAGTGTGTGACCGTCGAACAAGAGGCTTTGTGACCACATCAACTCTCCGATTTACACAAATCTCGCGTTTACTCCCTATTTCGTCACTCTAATAGTTACTCGTGAAACTATTTGTTACAAGGAGAACCGTTGTCTTCATTCAAATTCAAATGGACTACAGTGCCGCGGCAGTAATCTTTGTACATCGGCGTCTTTGATTGATCTTAATTGATAGAGGATACAGGAAAGCTCACTGATAAGGACTTTTTCATATGATGAGGGGCATCTCGGAAATGTTTGCCTTCAAGTATCTGCGCCAAAAAATAGAAACTTGACGGCCAAGTTCAGGTTCCTATCATGTAGTTCAGAAACTCCACTGCGTATCATGAGCAAACCGTCCTTTCCGTAGCGAAAAATGCCCAAATTAGCCTACCGTCTTTTTTTTCGCTCGAGTGCCAACTCGTTCAACGCTTAAAACTTACAATGTTCTCTTCTGTGTTTGCATTAATGAGACCTTCCATGAACATTCTCAGTTTTCCTTCTGACATCCCCTCTGAATGGAAACCGTCCATTTCACACAGTTCAAACTTTTGGGACTGATCGCAACTATAATCATTTATGGGGTACGTCAAATTCTTGAAAGCTTCACATGAGTCTTATGCTTATTACCATTGAATGTTGCTACGTACGCTCCCAACTAGTCGCACCAGCGAGGGGAGAGGGATTGGGCGAGGTCACTTCACGGAGTTGAATGCTTTGACAGCATAATGCAAGCACGTTAGGAACTGGAGCGATGCTTCACCAACAAATGACATTCCATCAACTGCCTCCCACAAAAGCTTTGTTTGACTGTGTTATGACAAACATACACCATGCCACATCTCATATTTGACTTTTTTAAGAACCAAGTTCCGCTATCAAGACTACATCACGGGTAAATCGCTATATACGAAGCAACACCACACTAACTCTACGTTTTGGCCAAACGCTTTCAACACATTTTATAGGTCGACCGAGTCCGAAGCACACTGTAGCTTGAACATGAGCGCAATCGAAAGCACTTAAGTTGCAGTTTATGCTTTCTGGCCGCAGATACTACTTGTTTTTCATAATATCTCACACAATCCAGAATATTAGACTGTCGAAAATTGGTGCTCAAAGCAACACCTCCAGATCGATTTGGCGAGGTAAAAGCGGTCGATAATGAAAATGCGGATGCCGAGTTTGACTGCAAATGAGAAAAGAAACAAAGAAAATCGCCGATGAAGCCCTCAAACGAAGACTCCCCCTCTTCCACTTCAGGCCGATGTCTTTGGCCTTCACAAAAAAATAATAATTCTAAAATGGATCCTGTCCGAAAATGCCAACAATTTTAATGAAGGCTGGTCATATACTTGGAGAGATCGGCAGTAGTCAGTTTTGATCGCATTCTGTTAGTAAGACAAATACATGATCACATTAATCCGTTAGCGAGTATGGGTCTAGAGGATCTATCGTATACTACACTATTATACCCGATATCTGAGAGTGGGGGTAGGCGTGTCACCGGAAGTGACGTGCACTTGATAGAAGCTATGTGGATAAGCTGCTTCCAACATACATCGCTGGTATTAGCAAAGCATGCTGGCAACAGATGATCCACGCAACTTCTATCAAGTGCACATCACTTCCGGTGACACGTCTGCCCCAACTTCCGGATATCGACTGTACTACCAAGTCCATGCAGGTGATAACCGACTAGAGTTTGTAGTTCCAGAGCAAAACTTACAAGGATCCTCTTTTCGTACTCATCTGAGCTGTAGAATCACACTTCAATATTGTAAATGAATTATCAGCAGAAACACTTTTAGATCAAATTACATTTCTCATAACAAAAGTACAAGCTAAGAACACTGCTGTAAAGCGGACAACCTCAAACAATACGAATTTTTACAAATCACTCGCTAACATCTAAATAATTTGCATTACTAAGCTATAATGATTCATTTCAGCTTTTGTTTTCATCTATTTCAGCTCTTGTTGATACCCTACACGAAGTCTTCCCTAACAGATTGGGCAGGCAGCCAAGAACGAGCCCAAAGTACTATTCATTTTCCTTCATCATCCAGTTCTTGAGCACACATGCAACTATCTACAGACCCGACCAACTTCTGTAGAACCCCGAAGGCGGCTATAACAGACAGACCATTAGACCAGTTCATGTGTAGTCTTTACAATACTACATTATTACAACCCTAGTGGGAGAAGGAGCAAGTAGTAAAAACCACGTGACGTGACGCCGCTGCGGATTCGCGAAACAGCTTTTTCCATCGAATTGTGATGGTAACGGACTCCAAAAATGAAGTTATATTCGTAATGATAACCGCTATGACTCGTATTGGATAAGTTTTAAGGCGATACTGCTGCTCTTCGTGAGATAGCATTGCCGCAGCAATATCGAATCTGCTGATCCAATAACCCCCTCAAAACTGCATAGCATTGCCGAAATTTTGCTGTGCCTAACACCCTAGTTTCAAGCTTTATGCAAGATTCGCTGGTACCTAGTTCGATTCGCTGGCACCTAGTTCGAATCGCTGGTGCATCGTTCGATTCGCTAGCGATTCGCTCGACTCGAGCGATTCGCTCGATTCGACGATCCTCGACCGAGCGATTCGCTAGCGATTCGCTCGACCCAGCGATTCGCTAGCGATTCATCTCGATTCGTCAAAGTTAGGACGTCGCCTTTACGTTACAAGATGTTCAAACCGCTCTCTCGCACCGACCTCCGCCCATTCACTCTCGCCACCCGCGAGCCGTTTTCCTCGGCGTACATCTCTCGTCATTACTCTCGTCGTCGCGTTGGATCTTTTGTCCACCGAGAGTGAACATACGCACGGAGACACAGACGGCTCGCGGGTGGCGAGAGTGAATGCCGGCGCGGAGAGCGGTCAACATCGGTCCAACGTAACGGTTGACCCTGCCAGGGAGTACGAAGGGCAACACTTCGTGATGTTGATGTCATGATCATGATAAACCCACAGCGGCTATATAAACACCGATCGAGCACACTCAGTCTCATTCTACATGGTGCTGCCGTGGCAGCCGGATGAGCGGGGGGAAGGTGGAGGTAAGAGGGGTGGAGGGAAGGGGGCAAGCAAGGGGGTCATTCTGTGTCCAACAGTTCAAAAGACATTGCAATAAATAGGCGCAAGTAATTTCGAGACACCCTGTAGGCCGATGTCATAGTTTGCGAATCGAGCGATTCGCTAGCGAATCGCTGGATCCGAGCGTTGCGCCAGCGAATCGAACGTTGCACCAGCGATCGAACGATGCACCAGCGAGTCGAACGATGTACCAGCGACTCAATAGTGGCGGGACCCAAAGTTCAAAGGAAGCCCGCTACTTTCGAAGGTTACGGGGCAGTGGTCAACCAACGCGTAAGAGTCCAGACAGAAAAGCACATACTTTGTGCTTCTGTAGGACTAAGCCTTTGAAGGAAGGAAAGAAAGCAGAGATGCTGTAATAGTGTGCATATGCGAGAGTGCCCAGAGAACACTACAAAACGCTGAATCACCAAGCCTTCCTATTGACCACTGCCCTTGGAGGACTTTCGAAGAGTGTCACGTGATAGTGGACCCTTTTTGGAAGTGGTGGGACTTGACAGTGGACACTGTTTGAAAGTGGCGGGCTTCCTTTGAACGTTGGGTCCCGCCACTATTGAGTCGCTGGTACATCGTTCGATTCGCTGGCGCAACGCTCGGATCCAGCGATTTGCTCGATTCGCAAACTATGACATCGGCCTATAGGCAGCTCCGACGAAAAATAAAATTTTGAGATTTTGGGGCAGTAATAGTGTGCTGGAACCGTTCGCATCACAAGCCTTGTTTCTAAAATTACATAGTTTTCCTGGTCATTTCCATCAACTCATAATATGGCTACCCTCCAGTCCATTTGGAGCGTTTTACACCGTCTGCGCAGTCTTCATGAAATGTCGCGGCAACGGGTTGCCCTAGTGTTCGCATGAACTGGAAAGAAATCTAATCGTTAACTAGACTGGTTTCAGGGTCATTAATAATTCCCGTGGCAGACCCGGCTACCTGGTCTTCCACGCCCTGGCAACCTTCACGAATCCTCCTGTTTATGGCACTATGTGTATTTTCGCTAGTCCTGTATGCTAGTACTGAAGCTGTACCTTCTAGTATGAGTTACATGCCCAAACAAGGTCGACGACAGACCGAATCGAACGAGGGTGTGGTTCATAGGACAGAAAAACTTTTTCGCGTTTTACGATGCGAACATTTTTTGCTGCGAGAACCTCGGGTCCACTGATGATCAGCGGTGACCTGAGGTTCCCGCATGAAAAATATTTCGCGCTGCAAACGCGACAAAAATTGCTTCCTGTCCTAGTGAACCACACCCATCGAGCGATTCGCCCTAGTGTAAGTATAACATCGGCCTTTTCGAGTGTAGAACGCGACCGCGGACGCCTGCGCATCGCTAGTAGTGAATTGCTCGATTTGCAACGTCTGACATAGACCTAGGAATCATTATCAATCACTCGGTTTTTCGCTTATAAGGTTTATCTTTCTTTTCTCCTTTTCTTCTTTTCTTTCTTTTCTTTTTTCTTTTTTTTTCTTTTCGTTCCTCAGTGTTTCATGATCAAATGTACTGAAATGAGTGATGTTATTTGATATTTCTATTTCTTGAACTGGAGATGGTTGGCATTCCTTTTTCAATAATTTTCGGTAAGTTGTCTCGGTAAGTTTCGTTTGATGTTTAGACATGTCCCTGGCAGGCTTTCGCACATTGGGACGAAAAATCGTATGCGTGGGCAGGAATTACAAAGATCACGCTATAGAACTCGGCAATCCCATCCCGACGAAGCCATTGCTTTTTGTAAAGGTTAGAATCGGCTAGAGCAAGGTTACCTGAAGAGACATATTCTGTGCTTATTGTTAATCGATTTTGCGAAGATTCGCTGAGTGATTCCCAACCTTGTCGTTTTCTCTAAAATGTGATATTTAAATTTTGAAGTCGCCAAATGCTTATCTGCAAGAAGGTCATCCAATTATCACTCCTCCGGGTTGTGAGAATCTTCATCAAGAAGTAGAACTTGGAGTTGTAATTGGGAAAACTGCTAAGGTATGTACTTTATCCAAGGTGTACCGTATTTTTTTTATTTACACTCAATTTTTGCAGAATGTACCGAGAAGTGAAGCGATGTCCTATGTTGGTGGTTACGCTGTTGCTCTGGACATGACTGCTAGGGATTTCCAGGTAGTTATTTTCACTTGATGGTTAATCGCAGTTTTCCAGTCTCCATGTTTGTTTTTCGAGATGTGTCCTTGTTGTGATTTATGGCGATGGTTCCAAAAGCTTTATGCCTTGATTATATTTGTGATGCACTTGGTTTCATCTGATGTCGTGCATGGTGCATGATGTCACGCGGTCGAAGCCACTTTTTTACGAATTCTTTTCTGCATATAATGTGATAGGATCTAGCATAGAACTCAAATATTGATATGGAACCAAGGATATCGCAGGCTTCAGGAAACCTTGCAAAATTTGAGCTGAACCTTTCTGTGGATCACTTTGTATATAGTTATGATAATGTACGGTTTATTCATTGAATGCAAAAAGCCAGGAAAAGTTGGGGATGTGTGAAAAAATTGTATGACGTGGGTGCAAGAGGCTCCCATACTTTCTGCACGATTTGGGGCGCGGCCGCGCTCGCCGCGGCCCCGCCCCAAATCGTGCAGAAAGTAGGGGAGCCGGGTGCAAGACACATACGTCCCACGCTGTCCGGCGTGACCAGCCAAGTGCGGGACGTATGTGTCCTGCGCTGTCGTCAACGTATGTCCCTGCACGGCAGGAACAGTATGCATGAAGGCTCTTCCAGGAGGAGAAAGAATACGGTTCCAAGTGGTCATGTGCAGTTGTTTTCCAAATTGAGCTGCCCGTTGTATGTTTAGTCTAAGCTTCTCTACTGAAGCAAATAATTGCGGGCATCAGAGGCTGTCTCTTTAGGTGTCAGTGAAAAATCCACGATTTGTTTCAGGATGAGGCTAAAAAAGCTGGAGGTCCATGGTATCTTGCGAAATCATTCGACACATCGTGCCCTGTATCCAGTTTTATTCCAAAGGAAGAGGTGATTTTTTTACCGAAAAATGTTTGGGTTCGAAATGAGACCGGAATTGTGGGGTAACTACAACATTCATGATCTACGATTGACATCCTGCCTCAACATCAGTTCACACCGACCAAAATTTGCATCGCTCCGATGGTAAAAATTGCTAACAGTCTCAGTCAAGTGAGGAAATCACTTCCACAACAGTTTACTATTAAATTCAGAGAGACAAAGCGTACGGCGTTGATCAATCTATCTTTTGGGGAGTGCCAAGCATTCCATTTTCCTACAGAATCTTAGTACGAATTTATGCGATTTTCCCACAATGACTTGCGAAGACCAGCCAGTGGTCGTTGGCTCCGTAACTTTTTTTTCACACTTGAGGCCATTGCCGCGGCGGGTCCGCACGAGACCAGGCTTGCCATTGTCTCACTGTGAGCTGGGAATCAGGGCATGATGATATGTTGATAAGCGACTCTGCGCCCGTTCCGGCCTTGCTGTAGCTGTGAGAAATCACGGAACCACCTGGACTCCCAGATGTCATCGTTATGGTCTAGACGCCCTCGCTTTTAAATGGAAGCAAGGTTCGAGGTGCTTTCCAAAGGGTGGATTACCTTCATTTAACACATTCACGCCGATGGCCGCCCATATGGGCTGCCAACAACATGCGCTCCTGGGACGATGGCAGCCCATATGGGCTGCCAACTGATAATCGCTTGCCAGGCGCTAGGAATGGACAAGATAGGTGGGCAAACCTCGCTATCGAGATCTGCGAGTATGTGGTGAGACGGCGGCGCCCACAAAATCACGTTCGTCCTAATCGTGTCGAGGAAATAACCCGCCTCTTTACGACCCCCTCCAGAACATGGACTCTGATACGACCCCTTTTTGTCCTCTGCACATCCGGTTTCATATCAAAAAATGCTAGTTTCAGATGTGCGAGAGGGACGCAGCGCCGCTGCCACGCAAATGCGGCTTGATCCAAATGCTAGATTCAATTCTTTCTTTCCTTTAAAGACATTTAACCTTTGCCACATTGGCCGGAAAGTGGAACATTGAAGTACTAGGTGCTGCCCCTACACAGTTGAACAGTCTCGCGCTCCAGTATAGCGGCGCTAACTACCCGATCGCGTCGCGCGCTGTGCCTAGAGCGCGCTAGTTGGAAAAATCGTCAAATGTACCCCCTATTTAAAGGACTATAACTTTCTTCATTGATAACCATTTCAGAAAGTGAAGGCAGCTTTTGAATGCACAAGACTTCTAGTTTCTAAATTGTGCTGAGCGTTTTTCTAAGCACGCCTATTCTCGAGAGTGGGAGACGTCGAGAAATTGTCGAGGAAATTGAAATTTACATGCGAGTTCCCACTCTTTGGAAGACAGTAGCTGTCTTCATTGGCAATGCTTTGAAAATCGGAGGAAAGCGTTGTAAAGTAGAAGATTTACGCTTTCTGATAGGTGCTCCAGTTTCGAACGCTTTCTAGTTCGCGAGAAATCTGCGTCGAGGAAATGTCAAGGAAATTTTCGAAGCCACTCGAAAACTATTACTCCCTCGCCGTAGTAGGGAACTTCTTTGAACACCTTCAAAATGCTTCTGTACACGTCAGTTCGATGGAGTAAATTGAAAATGATGCACTTGGCGCGGATCCATTCCGTTCTTGTATGCGCCATGCAGTGACCCCACTCGGAGTCATTGGGAAGGTGTTTTGTCCTAGTGACGACTTGCTTAAGCACACCAAAAGATATTTCCAGTAATTAATTAGGATAACTCTTGTGGTCATAGTGATGTCTGATCATTCCTTTATTCAAATCGCTTCCTTTCCAACCCGTTCTGATGAATGACACGCTTGCGGTTGCAGGATCTGATGATGCCAAGAAGGCTGCGAATCTGCCTGTTTTGAACTTTCTACCAAGATGCTGTTCCTCCACTAAGTTCTCGAAGCATGTGCATCATTCTAGAGTAGATACTCGCTGCCCTTTCCCTACGATTCTTTTGCAGGACGCGTTGCCTTCCTATGCCATACTGATCACTACGAACCAAACCAACAACCACTTTCCATTTAAATTTTAATTCCAGACAGTTGTAAGATATTATTTGCATTAGGCTAACTACAACACTTGTGAAACTAATGATGACAGCAAATAAGTGGCAGCAGCACCGTTGTGTCCGTTGATGAACCTTTTGATTACGACCCCCTCCCAACTCTCATCGGAGCAAATACGACCCCCTGTCGAGGATTTCCTCGACCGTTATTCACCCTGCCCACCACCCTAGACTGCCTTCACTCCCCCTGGCTCACGGGGTCCCGTACTTCAAGAAACCTGTGCGCCAGGGGGAGTGTAGGCAGTCTAGGGGGTGGGGGGTGAGGGCAGCCACTTGATGCCCCCCTTACTGGATGAGACCCGTATTTCCTGCCGCCCATCAATAAGGCGCAAGGAGCTAATTAATCTGATAATATTATTTTTCTTTTCAGGAGAAAAGGAAGAGTAGAGCGGTTGGCCTCAATTAACCTTGTCGCTGTGGTACGTCTAGGATCGTAGACGCACCTTGAATCATCTAGTTTCTGACCGTTAGCATGAGAAGGGATCAAGCAGAAAGCAGATAGAAGCAGATAGCCCAAGCTCATTCTTCAGATCAGCCTAAATGAGAGGGGACAGTTAGTGCAACAGTTCCTGCCACTTACAGTAATCTCAGTATTTGCAGGAGGAGGAAGAAAAAGCTCGGGGGTGCATGGACCATTTTGGTCTCGTTTTCACACCCACTCGAAGCTTCTTCTCCGTAAGAGTTGGGATTACTATAGGCGGTGCGAACTACATATTGTACAATATGCTTCTCTTGTGAAGGGATACCCTTTTTCCTCATTAAGGCTCCAGCTGCCATATTCGTAATCACCTGTTCAATGCTTTCTGATTTCAAAGTTCCAGATCGAGGATCCTCATGCTGAGGAATTGTTCTGTCGCATCAATGGGGTGGAGAAGCAGAGATCTCGCACAGACATGATGATTTTCGATATACCGACGTTGATAGAATACGCTACACGATTTGTGACGATGGACGAAGGAGATTTGCTCTTGACAGGAACACCTGCTGGTGTCTGCCGAGTGCTTCCTGGGGACACCATCGAATTTGGTCTCGAAGGTCGGATCACCACCAAATTTGTTGTACAATGATATTTTGTCAGGTTGAGATGTATTTGATATTATTGTCAGACGAATGCCTATTTGGTTCTTTTCACATTTTGCACCATTGCCATACAGAGCGCACCTGTTGTGCATCGAATGAAATAAACGATTCAAATAAAACTACTACAAGATATTTACAATTCTAAAGGAGTTGAATTTGGTTTCATAATTTCACCGCGAAATCGTATACAGGGCGTATCAAGAGTTTGCGGTCACCCTGGAATCGATTTTCTGGGTTTAGCAGTAGGTTTTTTTTCCTGCCATGAATACACCATTGAATGCTTGCCATCGATTACCTATAGTGGCCTCACCGGTAAATAATTTCGTTTTATATGGGTAGGGTTAAAGGATAAAGCATTTGCCGTTGATCAATCCCTTTTGGGATGCGGCACGCATTCTACTTCCATTTGTACATTCGTAGTGGCGTTTGAATGCGATGTGGCCTATACAATGACTTGCGGGGGCCAGCCGATGTACAAGTCAGTGTTTTT